GGTGAATCCCTATCTCACTAAGTCCGCAACTTCTTCAAAGAAACCCACAAAAATGCTGAGCACGTTTCGCCTCCGAAAGACCCTCTGCTGTTTGACTCAGCTCTGCACCTGGAAAATATCTCAGTGTGCTCTTCAGCATTCTCTCCTCAATCAATGAGTTGTCTGCCGTTCGTCCCCAGCCTCGGTCTTCAGAGACAGCAGTTCCGCTGCTACTTTTTTTTTAATTCCCCTAGAGCCTGACCCTGGGAATAAACTCTGGGAAATGTCCGTGAGGAGACTCACAATCACCTGAGACCATTCTTTTAGGAGCCTGGGGTGAGAGTTGTTAGAGCCAGGAGCCTTCTGTACCTTTCCTCTCCCCCAATAGATTCTGTCCTTTGGCCACCCTCCCACCCCCCTACTCTCCACCCCTGTTGATTCTAACCCCAGCTTGGGTGCAAACCCTTTGACTGTCCAGCGCCTTGGGATGTCCATATTAATACTTTCAGTTGTCATAGCGCCTTATCATGCTGTTGAGACATCTCAAAGCACTTAACATATAAAATGGATTGACTGTGTACTTATGTGGGCACATTGTGGCAGCCAATTGCACATAGCAGTGTCCCACAAACAGTCGTGGATTGAGTGACTACTTTTTTTGTGTGAAGGGATTATTACCCCGGTAAAGTGATCTGCTAATCGACTAACAACCAGGTTCCTACTTACTGCTAGGTAAACAGAGGCATGTAGAGTAAGGAAACTTGCCTAACGTTTCACACGGTCTGGGAATCAAATCCAAGTCCTCTCGCTTGTGAAGCGAGCTCTAACCTTGATTTTCCCATCCACTTTCCTCTTGAAACCCACAGTGGACTCTGCCTCTAGAATCTCCCTTGGCAGAGCTTTCCACACCCCTCAGCAGTTGTTTTCGCAAGATTATAAGATCCGTTTAGATAAAAGAAGGCCTTTTATTCCTCCAGAGCATCCACTCAACCGTGCCCCTATCACACTCCCAAGCTGCTTTTTAAACAAGTCCTGGCCTCTACCGTTTTTCTTGGCAACCTGTTCCAGTCACTGATTACCCTCTGGTAAAGAAACACTTCCTGGTGTCTGTCCTGAATTTGCTCTTCCAACACTAAACCCACGTACATCTTAAAATATTGAACTGGATTTACTTTCTCGATAACACTGAGAATGCTCTCCACCTCTGTGGGGTCCCCTGTGAATCGTCTTCTCTCCAGCCCGAGGAGCCTGAGCTTGTCTAACCTCTTGCTGGCTGAACTGTTCATTTATTACACTGTCACCGGTGGCCCTAATGAGGACTATAAATATTGCTGCAGGTGTGAGCAAACACGGAGCTGCCAATGTCCGAGCTTCTGACAGTTACAGATGAAGCTGTCTGTCCGCTGATTTCTGCAGAGCCTCATTCTAACCTCAGGCAACTTTCCTTACTCCACACGCCTCTGTTTACTTAGCAGTGTGTAGGAGCCTGGTTGAGAGTCGATTGGCAGATTGCTTTTCCGGGGGTTAATAATCCCTCCAAAAAAAATGATGTGATCACTCAATCCCCGACTGTTTGTAGGACACTGCTGTGGACCATTGGCTGCCACATTTCATTTTGCCCACAAAATACACAGTCAATCCACTTTACAATATATTCTGTGAAGTGTTTTTTTGAAACGTGTGAACCCACGTGATAAGGCACTATGTCAAATGCCAGGGTTATTATTAAAATACACAGTCAATTCACTTTGCAGTAATATTCTGTAAAGCACTTTGAGATGTTTCGAACGTGATAAGTCTGATTATTATTATTATATTAATATTCCGTCACCGCGTACCTGCCCTGAGAGCCAGCCACAACCTGTCAGGATCACAGAACACAGTGTGAGGCACCGCAGTGAGGATGAATGCCTTAGCTTGTATTAGCATTGCCATTATTAAAGTTCCAATCCATTAATTGTGACCTTTTGCAAAGCCTAAATCTGAAGATCCATTAAGCACTGGCAAATTGAGACAAAGTGATCATTGTGGAGTCAGTAAAACTCCCAGACAGTGGTGAGTAGAGGCACTTTAAGGCTGTTCCTCTCAATTGCTGCTGTGAATTGGCCTTCGAACTCAACACAATTGATATGACGTGAATGTTTTTTCTACTGATTTTTTCTTCCACACAATATCATTTTGGAGGGAGAAAATATTAGTTGGGATTTTGTTTTCTCTTATCACTGATATTAAGTCCTGAGGAATCCATCTGATTGCTAGCAGGGAGCTGGGCTGATCTCTCTGCCTTCACCCTCAACTCCAGGACTACTGCTGTCCTGACAGACGGTCTGTCGGACATCAAATCCTATGAAGAGCTAACTTTCTCCAATTGAATGTCAACAAGACCCTCCTCCGACTGCACCTCAAGACCCTCCTCTTCGATCCACCCTCTTAACCCTACCCTTCCTTCCCTCCACCCCTTCTGATTCCAACCCTCCCCCACCACCCGCTCGGTTCCAAACTCCTGACTGTCCAACGCCTTGGAACGTCCTCCCGACGTGAAATGCGTCATACTAACGTAATTTGGTTGTTGTTGATCTTTGTTAGGGTTTATTCAACAAAGTAAATGTTGAGTGACCTGATCTCAGCCTTGTTTTAAGAGTGCAGTCGGGCTTGTTATCACTAACCAGCGACTCCCTCTCGAGAGAGCAGGTATGTTCGCCCTTGGGTGACTGAGGACATGATCAAGCTGAGAGCTGTGATTCCAGGCCAAACCCCCCCACTTGAATACCCTGCCAACACTCAGTGTCTTTCCTTGCTGCGTCAATGTAAAATGAGCACTTAACCAAATACGATCGAAGCCCAGCATTAGCAGCAACTTTGAGAGTTGGGTGGCGGGGAAAAATATTCACACATCTCTCCAGTAAATTCGTATAATGGCATATTCGTAAGCTCTTACTTTTTGATCTCGCACCAATCAACGTTGAAACGTCTCAGCACTTAGTCATAATTGCTGCTCAGTGAGTGACTATATTTGATGCCAGACGCACACAGCAATGCCCCACAAACAGCCAGGAGATGGATGTTAATTCAATTCAGTTTTGAATTATCCAATTGATTCAAAACTCTGCTGCCCAAACAAACTCTGTACCCCCATCACCCAGTCCTTAATAGCTTCACTTCTCTCTGCAGAGTGGATTGATTTCCAGATCCTCGCACTTATGTACAAATCCCTTCATGACCTGGCAGCTCCCTACCTCTCCGACCTGCTTACTCCCCCCTCCACCATCCACGACCTTTGCTCGGCTGGCTCCGGCCTCCTGCTTGTCCCTCCTCCCTTCCGCTCCACCATCGATGGCCGGTCTTTCAGCCGACTATGCCCCGAAACAATGGAACTCTGCCTCAATCCCTCTGTTCGGTCCCATCCTTTCCCACTTCAAGTCAAACCTGAACCGATTCCTTTGCAACCTACGGTCACCTCCTTCATGCCTGACACCTCCCTACCTTGCCAACCTGCTTATTATTTCCATTAAAATTATTATTAAAAATAATAGAATTAATAATAATAGAAAAGAACTTTACCATAATGTTTCCTTCGCAGATCATGATTTGCGCTTCACTCTTGTGACGTCTGCTGAGTAGCCATCAGCTGCAGATGGATATTTTTGATCTGGAGGTAATTCTGAAGATGTGATCTAATAATAATAATCCTCACATTTGGTACAGCGCCTTTCATGTCGGGAGGACATCTCAAAGCGCCCCACAGGATGCACTGTAAAATATAGTGACTATTATATGGACAGCCAATCTACGCACAGCAACAAACAGGCCACAAACATCTGACCTCACCCTGCTCCTCTTCTTCCAACGGTTGAATTGAACTGAACTGACTTTTCCCAAAGGATGTTACGTAATTAATATATCCCACTGTTCCCTCTGTGCACACAGGTTTACATGTGATGTATGTGTGAGTGTACACGATTCGTACAATAAAATAATGAAACATCGGTTCCTCACTCCTTGGCTGCTTGTGAAATGTTGTGTTGCGCAAATTGGCTGATGTGTTTCACCAACGAAATATACAGTCAATCCACTTTACGTTATATTCTATGAAGCGCTTTGAGACGTCCCAATGACATAAGATGTTATACAGATCCTGTTCAAATAGGAACATTGCTCGATGAAAAAAAGACCCAGGTTGCTTTCTACCATCCTGATAGTCGCATGCTACAATAACGGAGATGTTGATAGCATCTCCATTATTAATGCAATGGTTATTATTATTATTTTGAGAGGTCTTGAAGACGTGATAAGGTTCTATATCAAATGCAAGGATTATTATTATAATAGACAGACCTGTACAAGCGTTCAACTGGTTATCGATCCGCCACAGATTGGTTTCACAAAGTTAATATATTGTTTGCAATTGATTCTGATGTCTCTCTTGTCTCTCCTCTCTTACCCAATGACAGCACATAAAGGTCTCATTCACCACCTCCGATCAGTGCTGTGCGTGATGGATTTCAGGATAAAAGCGTTTCCAGGCATCCCTAGAGGAGCTGGGATTTTGTGAAGAGCACACAGCAGCTTCCTGTAGAGATGAAGCCCCTGGTTACCAGCTCCGCAGCGCAGGTGGATAAATGGCCACAGACACCGTACGGACGTCCCCCGTCAGACTGGTGATCAATTCACTAGTGTGCGACTGTGTCCTCGGCCGCTTCTGCCCGCACAGCCTCTGAGTGGCCTGTTTCGTTTGCCAGAGATTAATCTCTCTGGGCTGGGCTCGTGTCTCAGTGCCAGGGCTATGCGAGGGGGAGGAGACAGCATCGGTGAGAAGCTATACAAATCCTTGTCATCCTTTTGCCCGCAAAATACAGTCAATTCACTTTACAGTCTATCCTGTGACACGCTTTGAGACCTCTCGACTACGTGATAAGGTGCCGTATCAACTACAAGGATTATTATTATTACTACTACTACTATGTGCTGTTAATGTGTGGCCTGTGCACTGTATGGAGGTGTAACAGCCCAGCATCGGCCCTCTAGCAGGACGTCCTTTGCCAGTGTGCCACAGGGCACAACTGGAGGGTCTGCCCGAGACCACCACCATGGTGCTGCCCCCGCCCGACAAGCGCCACGTCTGCCTGTCGGCCATTGTGATCATGAGCAGTATGGCCTTCATGGACGCCTACCTGGTGGAGCAGAACCAGGGGCCTCGGAAGATCGGCGTGTGCATCATCGTGCTGGTCGGAGACATCTGCTTCCTGATCGTGCTGCGCTACGTGGCTGTGTGGGTGGGCGCCGAGGTCAAGACGGCCAAGCGCGGCTACGCCATGATCCTCTGGTTCCTCTACATCTTCGTCCTAGAGATCAAACTCTACTTCATCTTTCAGAACTACAAGGCGGACAAACGGAATGTGGACACGGTGGCCCGCAAGGCATTGACTTTGTTGCTGTCCATCTGCGTGCCCGGGCTGTACCTCATCTTGGTAGCTCTGGACAGTATGGACTACGTCAGAACGTTCCGGAAGAAGGAGGACCTCCGAGGACGCCTCTTCTGGGTCGCGTTGGACCTATTGGATATTTTGGATATCCAGGCCAATTTGTGGGAGCCACACAAGACTGGCGTCCCAATGTGGGCTGAGGGCCTCATGTTTTTCTATTGTTACATTCTTTTGCTCATTCTCCCCTGCGTGTCTCTCAGTGAGATCAGCATGCAAGGTGAGCACATAGCTCCTCAGAAGATGATGCTCTATCCTGTTCTAAGCCTTGTAACTATCAACGTCGTGACCATCTTCATCCGGGCCATTAACATGCTTCTGTTCCAGGACAGCAGGGTTTCGACCATATTTATTGGCAAGAACATCATAGCGATAGCCACCAAGGCCTGCACTTTTATAGAGTATCAAAAACAGGTCAAGAACTTCCCAGAGAATGTCATAGCCCTGGAACTCCAGCAGAATTCCATTGCCCACAATCAGACCGTCCACAGCACGCAAAGTGGGCAACACAACCAGACGCCAACCAGAGAGATCGTGGACACATGACCACAGTAGAGTCCGAGCCGTGCTACAAGTGGCTTCCAGTGATAGAAAAATGATCCTGTAAAAAAGGGGGAGGAGGAAATGGAGTTGGATGGAGCCAATTCGGTTGTTCCAGCACCGCGGACAGCTCCCGTGTTAGACACGGGACAGTTGTTAACAGTGATGAGCTGTGTTCATTCTCACTCTCCCCCCCCCCTCCCCCCACCTGCTGCCCTCACCCCGTATCCCCCAGCCCCATCTCAATCCGTTCACTTCCTCCCCTAACCTCCATCACCAGCCTGCTGCTGCGGCTCACGATCTCAGGAACAAAGCGATCAAATTGTGTGAGCGAACCAGACCATGAAGCTCGAGCTCCGAGATGGCAGTATGACTCAGTGATACATTGCTCTGGTTTGAGACGCCGTGATGGAACTCTCTCAGAAGATCACCAGGGACAGAGACTGAGCCACAGTGATTTACGATAGCTTTGGGTTTGCAGGTTTCCAGAGTCGAGAATTTCTAATGTCGGAATAACACTGTCTTTATTAATAATGCGGAACTGTTTTGCAAACCTATTTTGAGGTCTACCTGTATTTTTCGGAACAGAGTATTTAAATTATTTCGTAAAATTGTCTGAACAATTTAAAGAGATAGACGAACGAGACAAAGGAGGGAACATATTTTGTGGTCCCCAAACAGAACGCGCATACAGCTTTCGCCTCTCTCCCTTGTTCATTTGAACCCCTTAACTCTAACCTTGCACAGTTTCCTAAGTCTTGTGCTGATATTGTGGCTTGTGACATGGAACCAGTGTATTGGTAACTGCCCACAAGTACTGCATACACATACTCTGAATGTTCACTGAAATATGTCTCTGGGCTCATCCCAACTCCTTTTCCTAGAATTGGATTATTTTTTAAATGACATTGAAATGAGGTATAAAATCCAGACTATTTGCTTTGTATTTTATTGTCAAAATGCTCTCTCTTTCCCCTTCTCTGATCATACTGTTTCTCTCACAAGAAAGACACAGATCACCAGCTGCAAGAATCTTAAAGTCTTAAAGAATCTTTATCTTAAAGAATCTACAAGAATCTTAAAGATTCAGACCTCTGCCGCCCATTTCGCACCCACACTAAACCCCCATCATTCCAGTCTTCGCCAGGTTCCACTATCACAGATCCTCTCACTCACAAATCCCTTCATCCCCTGGCATCTCCTTACATCTCCTTACATCTCCGACCTGCTTTCGCCCCACTCCACTACCTGTTGCCTCCACTCAGCTGTCTCTGGCCTTCTGTTTGTCCCTTTTCCTCTCTGCTCCACCATTGGCGGCTATGCTTTCAGCCACTACGCCCCGAAGCTTTGGGATTCTCTCCTCAATCCCTTTGCCTTGCCTGCTCCATCCGCCTTTTAGATCATGACTGAAGACCTTCCTCTTTGACCGTGCTTACGGTCACCTACTTACCTCCCCCCAGAACAGCCTTGGGCTCCATCACTGTTAAGCGCTGCCCTGCGTGAGGGGTGCTATATAAATGCAAGTGGTTGTAAAGTAAGGAAGGTTTGACTTGTCTAAACCCAAATTCAAGTGAGCATTGACTCGAGAGTGCAAAACTGTCCCTTGAATTTGGCATTAGATTCAGTCTCACGCAGAGAGATATCACAGTGACACAGGGAAGAGGCGTTATTCTGCGGTTGGGGCTGTGGTGTCTTACTGGAGCTAGTTAGGACAGATCAATGCTCTACACTGCAGCCTGCCCAGCATTCACACTCCTTACCTTCATCAACACAAAATTCACCAACAATGACATTTTTAACCCCCTCCTAAATTGGACATAGAATTTTAATAAGGAATCCCATGGCCCAATGGGAATTATGACGTGCGCTGAGAGGCTGGGCTTGTTCTGAAAACAATAGAGAAGAAGGTCTGATTTTGCAGGAGAACAGGACTTGAAACCTTCTCGCTGGTTATCTCTGTGATTCTGAAGCTCAATTTGTTTTGCTTTCTCAGGCACCTTGAAACAAACATCTCCTGGAGTTAAGATCAGAGGCAGCATCTCTTCAACCCCACTTCCCCCCTCTCCCCACCCCCCACCCCCAAAATCAGGCTTTCAGCTGGCTCATAACCGTTCTGTTTTGTCCATGTTTGTTTTCTGGTGGAGACAAGTGAAAAATGACTTCATTTGCTGAGACAATAAAAGGTATTTGTTTGACAAATATCAGAGTCCTTGTTGGGTTGTGAGAGACTTGGGTGGGGGGTTGCTGTGAAGCCAGACAGCCTGCTATGGAAGGAGAACACTATAAGAGGTAAGTGGATGGCGGAAACTTAATTTTTTAAGGCAGAAAAAATTTCTCAAAAAATGGTTACTTTTTGTGGAGTCCCGTAGCGTATTGGTTTGAGCACTCCTCACAAGCGAGAGGACCCGTGTTCGATTCCCGGGCAGGGCAAAACCTTAAGCAAGTTTCCTTACTCCACACGCCTGTTTCCCTAGTAGTAAGTAGGAACCCAGTTGTTAGTCGATCGGCGGATTGCTTTCTGAAGGTAATGATCCTTTTTTTTTAAAAAAAAGTGGTCACTTAATCCATGAATGTGAACCCTTGTGGACCAGCCAGCACTTGAAGGTTAAAACGCAATACATTGCAGTATTTTTAAACATAGCCATGTTTTGGGGGTTGGTAGAAACTAGCTTGTGTGAATAAATCAGCTGCCGACTCGCCCTTGATATTAATTTAATTAATCATTCAATATTGCCACATGTGCTGCTTATGCCCTGCTCTGTCTCTCTATCTAAAGTTGCTGACCCGACTGCATATTCCTGTATCCCCAATTCCTCAGTCTCAATTGCTAACTGTTAGGATTTGGGTTCATCTCCAAAACACGTTCAGGCAATTGCATTTCAGAAGAACAGGCTCCAGTCTGTCTCCACTCAGAGGCCTGGCTGAATATGAAGAGAATGGAGATTGAGTCCTGCCCCTGGGTGCTTTGTAATCATGTGTGTAAGTGGTTGCCAAGTTCTGTTCATAACTTATTGGGAGGAATTACAATGCAACCGCAGAAGCCAGGTCTCATCTGCCATTCAAGAAACCTTCGACAAGCCAGTATCTGACCTAATGGATGAAAGATGTCCTTTCACCTCTCGGACTTGGGTTCGAAGGACAGACCAATTCTCTCAAAGCTCTGTGTCTCTGGTCCCTGAAACCAGGCAAGATTGAAATGCTCCTCTCTGCTAACTTGAATCTTCAGTGAAATGGATTGGGCACATTCAACGCATTTCTTCAGGGGCATAGTTTCACTGCACAAAACTGTGCATAATTCAGCACAAATTGGTACTAATTGACAGTGAGGTTGGCAGTAAGATTAGATGAGGGCACTGCTCTTTCATTCAGGGAAGCTGGCTGCTAACTGGGGAGGACAATGGAAATGACTCTGGTGGCATGGCTGAGTTTCTTACTCATATCTAACTCTGGATCCTTGTTAATATTGGCTTGGAAACATAACCCATCCAACTAGGCTAGTCAGCCTGGTGCACTCTCGCCTCTGAGTCAGACAGTTGTGGGTTCAAGTCTCACTTAGTCTAAGCTGACACTCCAATACAGCAAGGACGAGGGGGGGGGGGGTTTGTCGGAAGGTGCCATCTTTTGGATGAGACGTTAACCCAAGGTCCCATCTGACTGTTCAGGTGAATGTTAAAGGTATCATGGCACTGTTTGAAAGGAGAAGGGAGTTTCTCTCTCCCAGTGTCCTGGCCAATAAATCCCGCAAATAAAATCAGTCACTCCAGATTGTGAGAGAATTCAATGAGGTAGATGTTGAGAGGCTGTTTGTCACTTGCTGGTGAGTCCAAAAGAAGAGTGTGTAAGTATAAGTTCAAAAGTAGTATTGTAGATCTAACAGGAGTTCAGGAGGAACTTCCTCAAGCCCAGGGTGGTGAGAATGTGGAACTCACTGCCAGCAACTGTGGTTGAAGTAAGAAGCGACCACGTATTTAAGACAAAAATGGATCGCTAGATGAGGGAGAACAGAATAGAGGTGTATAGGAGAGGGGAGTATAATAATAATCCTTGCATTTGATTATAGTGCTTTATCATGTCTTAAATGTCTCGAAGCGCTTCACAGAACATATTGTAAAGGGGATTGACTCATGTATCTTGTGGGTGAAACGTGGCAGCCAATTGCGCACAACAATGTCCCACAAACAGTCGTGGATTCAGTGACCAAATTATTGTTTTTTTTTTAAAAAAGAATTATTACTCCCGGAAAGCGATCCACCAATCAACTAACAACTGGTTTCATACGTACTCCTGGGTAAACAGAGGTGTGTGGAGTAAGGAGATTTGCCTAAGATTTTGCAAAAACATATAGGAGAGGAGTAGGAGGGGTGCAAGCAGGTAAGGGGAATAGAAGGCTTGTGTGGAGTATATACAGTTTTCATGCTGTAGAACTCTACAGGTTGTCGACACACAAAGACTTGTTACCCTCATATTTTTTTTCTCTACAGTGCACTGATTAACAACTGAAATGTGGAAGACTGATGATAATTGTATTCAGAAGTACTTAATTGTAATCAGTCCAAGTGGTTACCTGTATTTAGACGTCCAGCGGATCAGTGTGAGAGAGTGATCATCATCATTTTCAGGCAGAAGTAGTGATGAGGACGTTACTGGTGTCAGACATTGTTACACTCGACTCATCTGCAACAGAAAATAGAAATTCGTTGTAAGAGAGAGCAAAAAAAACAAGGGGTAACAGGACTTTGTGAACACCCTGTATGTAATTCTGTAATGGGTAATTACTGCAGTACTGGAGTACTGCGCACCTGCCTGGCTCATTCATTCCTATTCCAAACACTCATCCGTGCACACAGGCCAGGAAATGGCAGATTGGATCACACTATGAAATCACATTACCAGACACCTCCTGCTTATAACTCAATCATTTTGCATGCACTGGTCTCAGACGGGCCTGCAAGATTAACAAGCAAAATGTCAACTCTTAAGCCAAACAAAGCTGCCAAAATTAACCCATTACAGTGTGCGTCAGGGAGTCATTGACAACTGGTGGTAGCAATAATATGGTTTAGTGAGTCACA